GAAACAAAAGAAAAAAAAAGGAGGGGGAGAGGGAACAAGTCACACCGAGGCCGATGGTTATTTCATCTGTGGTTTCAATCAGTGTCCATCCCTCTCGAGTGCTATTGGTGAACATTCAGTTAAAGGAGTCTTGCAAAATACTCTCACTTTTATTATTGACAGGGTATTTTTTTTTTCCTTTCCCTTTTCCCATTTTTTTTCCTTTTTTTTTTTCTCTTTTTTTTTTTTTTTCCTTTTTCTCTTTTTCCCATGGCTAATAATCTTGCAGCTTTCCTGCCCACCTCGTTAGCTGTTCTCACTCCACTCTGGCACCATGCCCACACCGTGGACCGAGTGGTACTGATGGGGTGAAAGGGTTCGAGGCACGCCGTGGGAATACAGGAATTCTGCTGGCTGTAAGCTGCTGGGAGGGGACTGGATGCCAGTTTGAGGTCCACACTGCCGGACGATGGGTTGGTGAGAAACAGAGGTTTGGTGCTGAAACATGCTATGGGTATCTCCTATTTGGGGGGAGGTGTGATTGGCCACGCTGCCGAGCCGAGGCATCAGCGGCCCCGAGGTGAAGTGGGCAGAGAAATGCTGGTAGGGTAACCTGTCCATGGGCTGCATGGCAGACACTGTGCAACTGCTGTAGGAGGGGACGCTCGGCCACGTGTTACAGCTGATGTCTTCTAGGCTGGGCACGGGGTCCGTGGGGGGAGCGGAGCTGGCATACATACATGCTTGGCGCTGGGCTGATTCAGTCCTGTAGGAAGTGTTCAGTCCCTGCTGCTGGGGATAAGTGGACCTGTAGAAAGGATCCTCTTCTGCTGGAGAAGTTTCCATGTAGGGCTTCTTGTAGGGATGCTCGGTGGTGGAACATTCCTCATCTGCTAGGAGAAAAAAAAACCTCCTGGTAGTGAACAAGAATACTGTGCCCTCGGCTGAACCTCCCTCCCTGCAGTCCTGGTTTTACCAAGGCCACAGTCTGCCCAGAGCTGATCCAGCCCCTTCTCTCAGTGATGGCAGCATAAATCCAGAGCCCTTCTTTGGAACTGATCTGAATCAATCCCGCTGAAACCCAGCCTTGCACTTGGCCCTGACTGCTGGATGGGGAAAGGGGTTATCTAGGACTTAAAGAGGAAAAAATTCAAGGTTGTAAGATGCTGGAGGGATCCTGAGGCTTAGCTTGCATGGTGATACCCCTTGCACACCCCATACAGCCAAGCTCCTCATCTCCTTTCTGCTGCCAGCACTCAGACCAGAGGAGTAACATCTGCCTGAAGTCACAGTGCACCTAAGAGAGGTCCCTGCTCCCAGCCAAGAGCCTCAGAGCTGATGCTGTTAACTAGAAGCCTTTACAGTGATGAATTTTCATGATAAATGAGACAAAAATGGAGACCACAATAAAAATACCCCCAGGGGAGCATCAGCGATGGCACAGTTGAGACAATCAGATCTGAAGTTTTACAGGCACAGTCTTCAGCTGTGCCAAGGGAGCTGGGCACATAAATCCACCCAGGGCCGTGTGCTGTGTGCCGGAGCCAAGCGTGACAAAAGAGAAAAGTAAATTTCACAGCTAGAAACAACAAGGCGCAGCCTGCAGAGCCCTTTGTTTCCTGCAGCATCCCAGGCCAACAGAGGGAAGGAGATAAACAATGTAGGTGAAATCTCGAGGGTGAAGCAAAATGAAAAAATGAATATGCACTTATTTATTCATTTGCAGGGTCATCAAATGAAATCCAGCTCTGCTGGAATAGATGGCAAAGTTCCCAGGGAAGAGCACTTCACCAAGAGATTTTAAGGACAACGAGGCAAGGGAAAGGGAGCTTCTTCTGACCCGGATTAACTTTGCTTCAAGAACAAGATTTCTGGTGCAGGAAGAAAAACATCCCACTGTGCTTAAAGCCCTCTTGTCTGTGCCCTTTCAACAGGGGTAAAATTTGGAAGAATACCACCCCAAAAAATGGCTCTATTCGATTTTTTTTTCTACCAACGCATTTTGAGCTGCAATCTTTTCACCCCCAAAACACAACGTTAAAAAAAATCCAGTTCCACAAAAAAAAAAAAAAAAAAAAAAAAAAAAAAAAAAAAAAAGGGGGGTTAAAATCATCTGACTCTCAAGAAGCACTTGCAAAAACAGAGATGTTGCTGCCGGGCTGCTCCAGCATTGGTGCCAAGGGGCACCTTCAGGAGGTGCCAGTGGGCAGTACAGGCACCTTTTGGTTCTTGTAAACACACTCATGCACATACCCTTACTGCTATAAACAGCCACGGGCTTTCTCCTGGAAGCTGCACCCACTCTGCTTGTAAAATAACCCATTACTCCCACTCAGGTGTCTACCAAGTCTCACTGAAACAACTGCTGCAGTCAAGTCTTCTTGGCCTGACAACCCCAGGAGACACCAGGTATGGAGGTTACGCACCATGGGGACTTGCCCCTTGGTGTCCTTTTTTATAGCAGCTGCCTGTAAATTCAGCTGGAAAGCCCCAGTCCTGCTTCATGCTTTCTTCCTGACAGCAGCAAAACCTGGCTCCTTAGTCCCAGCAATGCAGAGCCTTGATAATCAACTTAACAAGATATCTTCCTCCTCTGCCTTCTCTTAAATTAGGACAGAAAGTAGAATGAGCTATGGGAACAATGCAATCCCATCATTAAAATAGCAGAGAGATGCAAAAACTCTGTATCACTCTCCTTAATCCTGACCAGGTTCACTTCATGTAGCCTCCTGAAAGACAAGAGCTGGAAGCACAGGTTTAAACTCCCTCCTAAACGTGAGTCTATCCCAGGAGGAACAGCTGGAAGAAGAGCTTGAGCTCTTCTTTTACAGACAGCCTAAAAGTTTTGGATCCCTAACCCACCACTGAGTAATAAGAACACGAGGGTGGAAAAACAAAGTCTTGTAAAATGAAGCATTGTTCTGCTAATAAAGTTTTCAGCATTAAACCGCATTACTCTGCTGGCATCAGAAATCATTGGCTTGGGGTTTGACTGTTTATTTTATTTTTATTTTTTTTTTAAAATACACAACACAAACCAGTCAAACTCTGTTTTTTTCCGTTGTGTAAAAATGTGCCTGACTTACAACCTGAGGCTGCTGATTTTTCCATGGAGCCCAGACGTTCCCCTGCCAGCCCCAGCCCAGCCAGGCGGAGCTGCAGCCCCACGGGTCAGCTTCCAGAATTCATTGCAGGTGAAGAAAGAAAAACAAAAACAACCAGGATTTCAGTGGAAAACTCTATAGGTCCCCTCTCTTCCTCTGTGAGATCTCATCATGGCTCTGCTGGCCACTCTAGAGGCGTTGATGTCATATGTGGAAAGGGCACAGTCACTCCAGATTTTGAGGACCCATCTCCAAAGAGCAGATAGCACCTAGTGAAGGATGACCCTACCCTAATAACTTCTGCCTGTCCTCTGGCCCCTCTTCCTGGTGGTTTTCCCATCCACGTAGCCCCAAAGCACTGGAGAGGGAAGAGAACTGTCTATCTTCATCATCAGCTGGGATGATGAAGACCACAGATCCTCATCTGGTGCCAGCTGATGAATTTATACTGCTCCAGGCTCTCTGATCTGGCATTATCCTACCACTCCTCACAGAGGACACCAGAGCCAGCACAGAGCAGGTGAAGTGCTTCCCCATGGTGTGTGGAGCAGGTCTGGGGTTGGAAAGTGGACATCTTCAAGTAGGAGAACAGAGAAAGGAGGACAAGTTAAACATCTCCCACGCAGTGCTGAAGACTGCAGTTTAAATTTATCCTCACCTCTGGAGCCTGGACAGTCCGTCTCAAGGCCATAATCCTCTACCTGAAGGTCCTCTCACCTCCCCAGCATCAACAGGACATAGGAGATAACTGTCTGGTCAGCTCTGGGTTTGATTCTTGATGGGGTTCCCTGGTAGCAATTCACTGTCTGTTCCTGTTGCCACTGAGCCCTAGGAGGTGCTGGGCACCTCTGGGAGATGCTGGGTACCTCGGGGAGATGCTGACCATCTTTTCTTGCTATTCTTGGAAGCCAAAGGTGGCAACCAGCTCTTGTGACCAGCCCCTTGACACTGCAGAAACCTCAAAAAGCGAAAGGTTCTGCCAAGCAGGAGAAGCTGCCAGCACTTGGGAGAAGCTGCTCCGAAGTGGATCCAAGGAAAACGGAGCCTGCAGAATGGGGTGGAAACTGGCTCCCTCACAAGGAATTTGATGATCTATCTAATGAAGGAGTGAGAGCGAGAGCAAAAGCAGTTCCAAGATATCCGGTATTTACTACTTCCAGCTGGGTTGTAAATACCACACAAATGGCTTTTTAAATGGAATTTTCCCAATTCCAAGATTAGGGCCATCCAGAACGAAATGCAAACATGTAAAATCTCTAGACTTCAGGGTGCCCTGAACCTAAATCTCTGGATTTTAGGGCACTCTGGACCCAAATCTTGCCCCGGTGTAAATCAGGAGAGCTCCTTTCCAATTTGTGACAATCAGCTCCCTGGGACAGAGGACAATGAAGAATTAGACCCAACTGGTTTGGTTTTCAAAGCTTGCTCACACTTGCAGGGCATTACAGTAGGTTCTTCCCAACTTTGTGAGGGAGACACAATGGGTCATTATCACTAATGCTGTTGTTTTATCCGGTCTGGTTTCTAGAATAAATCTAGCATGAGCCTGAACAGCCAATATCAGCTTGCAAGACTGAGAAGGGTTGTCAAAGAAGTAAAGAAAAAGGCAGATTCCATCAAAATGAACATCCCTAAACAAGGCAAGCATCCTAGAGCATGAAACCAATGCTGGCTGCTTCCCTGTCCTAGGTTTAGCTCGCTGGGCATGGTGGCAGTTGCAGGGTCTGCAGTGTGGCCGTGTTGCACTGTGGGGGAACATGACAGAAAGGGTCGTGGAGCAGAGACATTCCAACACCAAAACCTGGAACCTCTTCCAGAGGCAGGGAGTTGCCAACACTGCACAGGAGGCACCTCCTGATGGGAGAGGGGGATGCCTCTACAAAGCCACTGGAACGACAGTACCACAAGCAGCGTGGGCTGCGTGGAAAAAGCTGGGTTCACACCAGCCCCCTGAATATCTCCCCACCAAGCACCAGCAGCCACCTTGCTCTAGGCTCCATTGCATCTATTCAAGCTGCAAACACCTCTGGCTGCAGCGTAGTGCGAGCCTTGGCCGACTCCTTGCATCTCCTAACATCAGCAGGGTGAACAGCACGGCCTCCAAAAAGACATCCCATACTTGACTTTTGTCCTACAGGTTCTCCGAGTGGAAGAAAAGCTGGGTGGGGCGAGGGAGAAATCAGTTCAGTCAACAAAGAGGTCTGTTGTAGAGGAGAAGGGGCAATGGCACTGCTGTATCTCCACCGACCTCAGCAGAGCAGGAAGGAGATGAAAGATCTATTTCTCCCCAGGGTCAGGAGCATGTCCACGCTAGGTGGCTGAAGGATACGGTCCTCGCTGGTTGGAGCCAGTGCATTCTGCCACATCCCTCTTGTCCCTCAGAGTGCCAACATGACAACTTTTATAACCTCCCCAGGGAGAGGCTGTTCCAGTCGCCTCCTGTTCAGCATCACAAGCATCCCAGAAATCTGCCAAGCGGTTGAGATTGTGTAAGGCTGGGAGGGAGCAGAGGTTTAGAGGGATGGCTTTTTAGTTTACAGGAAATCTGAGGGAGAGGATAACACCAGGGAAAACAAGCCCCAGTTGCCCTAATTGAGATGTGGGGCTAAAATGAAAGACAGAAAGTAAGCTGTCTGCTGGTAAGTCCTTTTGGGCTTCTCCAAGCACAACAATAAGAGAGGGAGATGTGGAAAACAACTAGAGAAAAGGCAAAGCTCTAACTGGTCATTGCTTCAGCCTAAAAATCCACATGAAGAACCGAGGCCAGTCCTTGGTAGGACATAGGATTGGAGTTAACCCATCCTCTCAAGAGCAGTGACTTTGTGAAATGCCACAAGCAATGTCAATGTGGAGCTGGGGTAGAACGTAGGGTGATTCTCACCTTGAGGACTGCCATTCCCCAGCATCTTCAGAAGGTGCTTGGAGCAGCAACCCAGTTGCATCACGCTGGGGTCATTCCCAGTACTGCGAGCCAGTGCTCCCACCTGTGCACCAGGAATTGCCAGATTTGGGGCTCTGGGATGCGTCCTTCCTTCCCTTCTCACCCAGAAGAGCATCACCTCCCAGAAGCAGAGGAGCCTTCAGAGATAACATCCCCTCACAGCCCTGCTCCTCTCCCCTAATGCAACTCCATATCAGATCTCTAGAGGGAATCCATCTTGACTTGACAGCTAAGAACAACACTGTCAACCGAAGAGCTAAATCTTTGTCTTAGGTCACCAAGGAAGTAGAAGTTGAATAAGGGGCCTCCGAGTTGCTCGAATAAAGACTTATTCTTAACTGAGCCCAGACCAAGACTTGACCTCCTGATTAAAAAGGATACAGAGAAACATCATGAGATGTCAAAGCTGGAAGAAGGCGTATCTGGGAGACTATCTTGGAAAAGAGTGGTGGTGTTTGCTACAGAAGATACAGGCACCAGCTGGTCTCCAAGCCAGCTGAACTGCCCTCTGCCCCTGCAAGCACTTATCCATAACCACAGCCTTGAGGAAAGGAAATAACCCGCTTGAGATAAAGTCTAAACTGACTGAAGAGGAGTCAGTGGTTGTGGAGTGGATGATCCAAGAAAATCAATAAAACTTCCTAGCCAGAATATGGACAGAGGTGCATAAGGTGTGAGCACACCCATGTCCTCTCAGATGGTGAGGCTGGCTGAAAGTTATGCAGAAAAGTAGGAAAGCAGGAGAGCTGAGAGGGAAAGCTTAAAATTACACCTAGGAGAGGTCAGAAAAGGAGGAAAAAGAGCAGTATGCTAGGTAAGGTTATTTCCCCAAGCTCAATAAAGACCCTTGCTCAGCACTAGAGGAAAGTACCACGCTCTGCCTGAGTTAGAGACGAAACCCTGGATCACGTTGTGATTTATCTGAGGAGAACTGCTCATCTCTAGTGACTTTTTTAATTAGTTTCACTTTGCAAAGAGCTGCTTGGCAGCTTACGTTGGCTCTCTGTTTCCCATTAACTTTGTATTTCTTTTCTTTAAGCCCTGGTGGCTGTTTTTGATTTACTAGATGCATGGGGAGGGGGGAAAAAGGCACAGGGAGGAGAGCAGAGACTCCAGCTCCTGAGACAGCTTCACGGAAGAAGCCAGTGGTATCGGGCAGGACACTGCTTCTCTTTGATTAAAGCATTTGGCGGCTTTGATAAAAGGCCCTTAACTGCTTGTGCTACTCAAGTCATCATAGAGATAATGAGGGGCCAGCAGCCCCAGAGACAAGGACTCCCTTTGCCAGTCTCCTGCACTTTTCCAAGGGCCACGCAGGCCAAAAGGGGCCAGGGAGCTTATTACAGGGCAGATAGTCGTCTCTTTTGTGACAATAAGAGGAAGTGAGATAATTGGGGGATTGAGGGAAACCACCCATGGAGACACCACTTAGCGGGAATCCCAAAACTGGAAGGAAACCTCTGTTGATTCCTTATCGTGTTACAATGTGGAGGGGAATGATGAATTGCCCTGCGGTGTGGGGACACGCAGCAGTCACAGATTGTCCAAAGGGCTCGTTGCCATTCGGGCTAGCTTGTTTGGGTTGGGTTTTGCAAAGGGGAAGAGCAGCGCTGAGAGCTCAGCTCCCAGGGCAAAGGGGCAGCGAGGATGGATTGCAGGCTGAGGGACACCAAGGGCCAACGAGATCTGCTTTTCCATCACCAGCACTGGAGCTTTGCAGCAGCAGTGGTGTCCCAGCACCTCACACCCACTGCCCTACACCAGCACGGGGGTGGTGAGGCCCATACTCCCCACCTCTGACCTTAGGGGACACCCTGGGAGGCCACAGCAACTCCTTATGCCCTACCTCACAGCTAGCTCAAGTGTAGCCTCACCAGTTTCCAACCACAGCTCTGACACAGGAGGGCTGCCTGGTCAGCTGGAGGGGTCAGAACACCATGCCTCTCTTTTCCACTCTTAGGCTCAGTCTTAGGAAAACATTAAGACTTCTCAACTTTTTGTTCCACACATCCATGAGTACACACCACACGTGCTGTTACAACCTCCAGGGGATTCGCCGAGGATGGAGGAGAGATTCCCAGTGCCCTCCTGCCTCATCTGCCAGCACTTCCCAGCACCCATTACCTTGGACTGTGCATCTACACGGCACATCCCACTGCCCCAGGGGTTATGTTGCTAAAAATAATGACATGTGGCTGGCTGATAGGACTGTGCAGGGAAGCAGGAAGGGATCTGCTGTGGGAAGAGTCTACCAAGCTGGAGAAATCCTTGGTGCATTCAAATGCCACGGTACATGCTGACTCCATTTAGCTTTTCCCATGCAACACAGACTAAGTCCTGAGAAAGGGGAACAGGGGGAGGCAGTAACCATCTCCTGCCCACCCCAGAGCATTGCATCCAGCCCTGGAAATTCCCCCTTTTCTTCCGAGTGTCTTGGGTGGGGCTCATCTGAGGCTTTTTGTTATCTCAGCCCTGCGTGTGTTTCTGCATCTGGGCATTCCCATTGCTTTGGGAGAGGAAGGGAGAGACTGCAAAGCGCTCGCCCCCGCCCGAGAACAATTATCCCATCGATATCATGGGGCTCTTCACGCCAGGACGAGCCGAGCAGTCAGTGTAAAGCCCTCACAGTTTGAGCCCTCAAGCTCTGTCAAAGCAGGTCAGTCACACCAGAGGGGAAGGAACATGGATATCATGATTTTCAATCCCATGCCCTGATCATTAGGCCGAGCATTTAAGTGGAACTGCTTTCTGCAGACAGACAACTGGCTCCCAACTACGAGACTCTGAGTTGAAAACTGGGCAAAATCCAAGCTGTCAAGGTGTCTCCACTTGGAGATTGACCCCGTCTGAGGGGCTATGGAGACAGATAAGTCATCTTTATCTCCAGCACCAGCTGTCTTACTGAATGTGGATTCAACGTGGGTGAAAGGTACCAGCCAACCCTCCAAAGAGCTCGCTCACAACCCAGCAGCAGAGAAGGACTTTTAGGCTAACACTGCTGAGAGGAGTTTCCCAGCCCAGCCTGGGGCAGCTGCCCACCTCCAGCACACAACCCCCATCCCTCACTCATCCTCGAGCATCACCACAAAGCAAGTTGGGGCTGTCCAGCCCGCGGGCAAGGGGCAACCTCAGAAAACAACGCTGGTGGTCCCGTGAGGAAGGGGAGAGTCCCAAGCAGGGAGCAGCCAAGGTCTGACCTTTTCTCTTGGTGCAGTGGTAGATCTGGCTGTGCTCCTGGGAGATGGGGTAGGGGTTGGCAGGCGGCAGCAGGTCCTGGGAGGTGCTCGACACTCCGTTCTCACACTGGTACTGGGAGCCCAGGTTGGAGGAGGCAGAAAGGACCCTGGTCTCACCGCTGAAGGGACTGTGATTCGAGGACACTTTTTGTCTCACCGTGCTCCTGGGAACAACTGGGTACTCCTTACTAAAAGCAAAGAAATACAACAAGAAAACAAAGCAGAAAAGCAAATCAATTAATAATAAGAGTGGATTAATAAATGAAAGCAGCACATTAGTATCCTGGTGCTTGTTTAGACTTTCAGGGAAACAGAAACCTCACTCACAGCCTCGTCACACTTTATCCATGCAGCACTCTATTTCACTTTCCTTTTTATATCTTCCCCTTTAAATTCATGCCTCTTCCACCACAACAGCTATTTTACACCCATACATAAAATAAATGTAGTTATAGTAAAATTCAGAAATTGATATTTAGCTATTACTATAGCATTTATAAATTATATACTATTTATATTGTATATAAACATCCACATGCTTGTAAATAAAAACCAAGCTGACTGGGAGATGTATTCAATATTTAGGTCAATTTTTTCCTCTTATGCCAGTTGTCCCCCTTCCTTTTCCCCAGGGTCTGCCAGCCTGGTTGTCCTGGAAGGGTGAGCCCTGGACCAGAGAAGAAGCTCCACTCAGAAAAAGAGAAATAAATCAAGAAGCTCCACTCAGAGAAATAAATCAATCACCAGGATCTGATGGACGCCAGAGCCACACGCCGCAGCGGAGCCAGGCTGGGAGGGTGAGCTCTGATGGAAAGTCTGCTTTGTTCCCTTGCTCTGAAATCTGGTTTGAAGTAGGGATGCTTTGCCAACACTGGCTGGAAATCCCCTCTCCTACAAGACCCTGCAGTGTGTTTTGGAGACATTTCTCCAAGCCCATCAGCAGCGTGGCTGGGCAAGATTATTCCTGCTCTGCAGAGGGTGGAATTGAGAGCTAGTCAGGCGTTTCAGAGACATCTGCCTCCAAGGCATCTGGGTGCTTCCTGAACCCAAGGACTTTCTGAGATGTGTAAAGATCAGGCAGTACAGCAGCACATCACAAGTGCCACCAGCCTCAGAGTAGCCTTAAACCAGAGTCCAGATTTCAACACAAGCTATAATCATTTGACCAAGATAGCTTTGAGTTGCCCTACTCATCTGCTGGAGCAAGGGCAGGTCCTTAGATCCCATCAACATGCTCACCTGACCATTTGCATGTGGAGGAGGAGCTCTGAATCTCCAACTAAACCCCTTAGAGAGGGCCTATCACTGTAGCAACTTGGAACTTATTTCTAAAATTTAACAATACCAATTACATAAACCTACTCACAACAGGGAGCTTTCATCCAAACCACTGCCGTGGTGGCTGCCAGAAACATCAGCAACAGAGCTCTCATGGAGGGGAAACTCACCCAGGAGCTCAAAACCAAATAAATGCATCTCTCATTGTGCCACAAAAGCTTTCCAAACCCCGGGCACCGGTGGCTTGCCAAGGAGAGCTTATTCCAAAGGTGGGGTTTCTTCCCCTGGAAGCCCAGCAGCTCCTGCCAGCAGGAGCATGGCTTTCCAACCACTTGGACTGGCTGACCAGGCAGCGTTTTCCCAGAGCTGAAGTCCAGGCTGTGCATGAGGAACAAAAGACAGATGGACTGGGAGGAAGCAAAGACTTATCCCTCAGATATGCAAGACAGCAATGGATGCCAGGGTGTGTGGTTGGCTTCAGAGGACCTCTTTGCCTCTGGTCAGCCAGTACTAGCATTTCTACCCCACGAGCCCTTGCTGGAGGGCAGCATCTGAGGCTTTTCAGGAAGAGCAAGAGCTATGGCCTTCAGTCCTCATGGGTGACCATTGGATCTTCTAGGTTCTAGGGGATGTCCAAGTCCTCCCAGGACACAGTTTTGAGTTGCCTGCTCCTGTCACATTCCACCTCATAGAAGTAGTACCAGCATGACACCCTAAGCTGCAACACCACTGTGGTTCCCTTCCAAGCAGACAATCCACAGGGACTTTGCCCTTAGCTCTCCTCCCTGCTGAGAGGCTGCTGCATGGGTTGGTTTGTTCCTTATTCCTCAGCTCCACCACAACCAATACTCAGTCCCCCAAGGACCGTGGTGTTCTCTGGGAGACACTGCATGAGCAAGGAGTCAGGCTGGAGAGAGAACAGGTTGGAGACACTGAATTTCCAAACAGCAGTTCCCAGGAGGTATTGCAGCCACTTCTTTCCAGACTGAAATATTTCCATTTCAGTCAAAACATGTTGGGTGCTATTTTTGCCAGAAAATCAACTATTTGAGGAGGGAGAGGAAGGAAAGTATTTTCTAACTAAATATCTAAAATATTCTTTCACTTTGCCATTTTTCTTTTCACTAAAGGCAGTTATCTCTGTTTTTCTACCTTTTTCTTCCATATAGGAGCTGAGTTCTAACAAAGAGATATCTTTGATGCCTTGTAAACCAAGTCAGCTCAAAACATTTAGACTGTTCCCTGAGCCCATCCAACATGAGCTGTGCACAGCTACCATTTTAGTTTGTCCTTCAATCCTTAAAAATGGATCCAATTCTTTTTCTTTTTATTTTTTTTAGTGCCTAAAAGTCACTATTCCCAAAATAGCTGGTTGTAATCCTGGGCCACGGTTTAATGGAATGAAAGGTTTTGTTCACTGCTGGCATGTAGTGACCGTAGTGTCCAGAAATGTTGCTGTCCAAAAAAATTGTGGTGAAGCAGGAAGGGAAAAAAAAAAAAAAGTGTTAAAAGCTTGACTTACACAGGCAGTATAGGAAATTATCCACCCAGCAAGGAAAAGATTGTTGCTCCTGGGCCAGAATGTGAGTTAGGGTGTTAATGGGCTACATTTTTTCATCATTTAAAATTGTAAAATTAGGGAAAAAAAAAAATTAAAGTCGGTTGAGGAATGAGTTTACAAGGAAGGAAGCTGTCACTTGTCTATTTAAAGTCTGTTGGAGGCTAAAGATGAGTATTCAGTGACTCCCACCTGGCTAGGTGTTTCCCAGAGCTGTAGGGTGGGACATCAGCTCTGTGTCATCATTTCCCAATGATGAACTCTTCAGAGTTCACCACATAACCCTGACCCTACAGCTCAGGTCTTACAAGTGAATCCTTCCTGCGTTTCCTGAGCACTTCCACCCAGCTCAGACCTCTGCCAGGTGGAATCAGCAAACTTGGTCTCATTTTCCCTCCTGACATCTTCCCCCTCTCCTGGCCAAGTGACGCTTTCACCATGGAGCTCTGGAAGGTCACTTCCACAAATTCCAATCTAGCAAAGAACTCAAAGGAGCAAATTCAAGGTTTTGTAATCTCAGAGCTGAAAACCTCGTTGGCCTCTACAAACTAATAAGAATGATGGAAAAATTAGAGACAAAGACCTTCACAGGGTGACATCCACTCCACTTCCTTGCTCATCACTCTGCTGTAAGAGAGTAATAATTTTCAATGTATTTTCAGGTACAGGCTTGAAGTTTCCTAACCTGTTACCTAATGCATAGTAACTGCAGCTGTCAGACAAAAAACTTGTTCAAAATCTTGCCAGATTTTAACCCCTCCTTGGTCAGTCTCTACAGAAGGGCAGATGTTTGCCACCCTATCAGCCTTGTCCCCTCCACAACTCAGCACCCATGGATACAGTGGTGCAGAACCCAACCCTGATTCCAGATGTGCAAATATAACTCAAAGGCATTTGGGTTTGTATTTCCCAGACAAACAATTGTTGTCCTTCCTGCTGAGACTCAAGAGTAGGAAACAAATGGAAGTCAGCCATCACAGATATAGAAAGAGGAAGTGGAAAATAAAGGGACTGGAATAAATATACCATCTCCCAGGAAATAAATAAACCAGAAAACAATTGTCAGTTGTCAATGTGCATTCATTTCAGCTTATTTCCAGCACATTGAAATGAAATTGAACCACTCTCAAGAGACTGTCTGGGAAGTCTAAACTGGATAAACTACAGAAGGAAAGGACTTGGTAGGAGGGGAACTGCTGCTTTCTTCCTTCAGTTTTACCTCCAGGTCAAATATGAGCTCTCTGCACGGGCACTGCAGGCCAGCCCCACAGAAAATAGTGCTCCAGACTGGATGTCCAGTACCATAAGTCAAAACACTCACTGAGAAATATGGGAGACTCTTCACTGCACCATTCTCCACCGATTTATCACGTCCTGACCTTCTTGCAAGAATGGGGCCAATATCACTGGCTTGGGTGCCAACCACCAGTGCTTCCATCACTCATCTGAGCACTGCAGACCAAAGAGATCACTGCAACAAACCCAAGAGCCAGCAGCAAAAAGAACCAGCTAGAGATCTGGACCTGTCATTATCAGGTAGATAAAAAGCTGGATTCCTGCAGACAGATACCACTGCTCACTTCGAAGTAAGAGAAGGAACATGAGAAGAGGTGAAGGATGGATGTTGGCCAGAGACATCAACATCATTCCTTCCTGCTGGGCTGAGTTTCTGCTGGCCAGATCCCCCAGAGAAGGGACAAGGGAGGAAACTGCAGCTACCCTGTGTTTCTTGAGTGAAATTTCTCACTTTAAAAGAGTTGTGGAAACCCTCCAGTGTAACCTGTAGAGCCTTACTTCAGATTTCATCTGAATTCCATCAAATTCTATAGAAGATAGTTCGAGCCCACAGCTTCCACTGTGGCTTTGACCAGGAAAATTTCCTTGGGGACATTTGCTAGAAGAAAGCAACATCTCTCCAACAGATGTTACAGCTTTAAGTCTCACACTGAAAACATTTCAGACAGCATGTGTGGCTCTTGGGAGATTTCAGTGACAGGACATGGGAAATGAAAGGGGATGTAAAGGTGTCATGAGAAGATGCAAGAAGAGCAAGGTCATCTGCACTGGACCAAGACCTGCTTGTGCTAGACAGACCAACATGATGTTAGCATGCCAAGGTGGACATTTTGGAGCTTAGAAGCTCATCCATTTATTCTACTGGCACCCCAAAATTCACCATTGTCTCTGTTATGCCAGCTCTAAGTCATGTCCTTTGCATCTGGCCCAGTTTCTGAGCTCAGTTACACCAGGAAATCTTTGGAATAATTTCTTTGGAGCCAGCAAGATGCCTGTGGATTAATGCCAAAGGCAGCAAACCATGGCTCATGTTCTTTAACAGAGAAAACATACATAAGGTCAAACTACACTGCCACTCTTCTTGGTCAAGTGGATCTTTCTGGATCTTTGTCTCCCTTTGAAAGGACCCAGGATACCCGTCAAGGGAGCTAAGAGCCACCCTTTCACATAATCATCTTTCCTCTCAAAAGCTTTCCCAATAAGAAGCTTCAAGGACTAATTGCATTAATTTAAATGAGCAATAACTAGGGCCTGAGACTTCCAGAAGCTCTTCAGCACCCATAATAACCACTCAAGACAATGGGAGCTGCAGATGATTAGCAGAAATTGGTTAAAGGGCTTAATAGGATTGCTCTTTCACAGTGCTCTAGCCCCAGACCTACGCTTCTCCCATGCTGTCTTTTGGCAGTCACAGATTAAAGAAAAAGCCCAAACCTAAAAGCTACTACTTGCAACCCCCAAAAACCACCCAATAGTCCTGGTGTGTTAGTACAGCTCCATTGGCTCACAGGCATTGCATGGGGAATTTTAAGGGCAAAGTCCTACACTGGCTTCTGCAATGATTTCTGATGTGCATTTTGCTCTTGCTCCCCACACCAAATTCCCCTCGGCACAAGCAGAAGTTCTGAGTGGAGACAAAAGGACTTTTTGCAGTACAGAGGGGCAAGAAATCCAAAAGGAATACTTGGCCTAAAATCCCCAGCATCACAACTACATCATTTTAACCTGATTTATATTTTTCAGTTCCAGCATGGCCACAGGACACAGATGCAGTACAACTCACATCCCTCTACATATTTTCCTCTGGTGTGTTTTCCTCTTCTCTTCTTTTTTTAATCAAGGAAATAACAGACCTGATCCAATGCTCAGAAAATTGAAAACCTTAAAAAAAAAAAAAATCTCTTCTCCCGAAGCACTCATTCTGTCAAAGAAACTGTTAAAGGGGTCCCATGTGTATCAGGAAAGGAAGGTGGTGGAGGCAGATGAATTTTGTTCATGGGAATTTAGATCTCTCTGGAGCTCCTGGCTGTTGTTTTTGAATGAAATCATCTGCTGCTGAAAGGCTCAAAATCACTACTGAATTAAGTTTTCTACCTGGACAGACTTATTAACTTTTCTTCTGGGAAACAGGAGGAGAAAACCCAATGTGGAAGCCTTACAAAGGAGAAAGCCACAGAGAGGGGTGGACACGCCAAGACATCCCCATCCACACTGCAAATCTCCTGTCCCCTGAGGCCGCTTAGACCAACGTGTTCAGCCAGAGCACACAAAAGCAGGCAGAGATGGAGGAAGAGTCCTCAATGAGCCCCTCAAGCCCTCACACTGAGCTCACCCTTGGCACTGGAAGTCGTCTTTCTTCCCCAATTCATCTTCCTTCTTCACAGTCCCTACCAAGAGGAAGGTGCTCAATGGAGGAATCATCAAGCCAGGTCTCCACCAGCACCTAGACCTACTTCTACTTCACCACGCTGCAAGACCATAATTAGACATCACTCCCCTAAAGCCACAACAGACTTAGTTGTACCTCCTAGATGGGTCCATCACTGGGAAACAACTCCACTATATGGGCACACACATTTATATATTAAAATATTATCTCAATAGATATTTAATCATAATTTAATACATATATAAATCCTGATAAACCCACAAAGGTAGCTCATACTTCTTTAACATAATCCTGAATGGTTCTTTATCTTATAGATGCAATTTATTTTTTTTTATGTATGGCTTATTTTATATACGTTTTCATATATTTTTATACGTGATTTTGTATATGTTCATATATGTACATAAAAAAAACACAAAAGTGTGCACATATTTGTCTAACATTTTCAACCCTGAATGGGTCTTTATTTCCCTATAATACTCTTATCCTGCTCTTCCTTGAAAAAAAACCCTACTTTTTTTTGTAAAAGTACACAGTGGTTTGTATGCTATCAGCACAGAGGATAAGTTATTAAGGAAGCAAGCATCAGAAATTATCCTGGAAAGCCAACACTGTGGATTTTAACCCTTTCAACCCTGTCAGGTCTGAGTGGGTGTATTTATATATTTCAAGTGTTTCTGCTCACTGTATCACCAACTACGACCGCAAGCCAGCATAAAAATGCCAGGCAATTTTTAGCACGAGCTCAGCATGGCTCCATGCCATGCTCTTCATATGGCATGAAGCCCTTCAAATGGTCGTCACTGTTTTACCTCCTCCATCCCACTCAAAAAAAAATACCCACAACGAATGTCCACCTTCAAATCTTTCCGTTGACTGCAATGAAAGGGTAGTTTAGCAGCAAAAACGTGCGTGGGGCATCGTTACTCAAGTTCCAGAAGAGGTTGGGAGGTTGGCATGGGAGGATGGGAGGCGGGGAAACTATTTCAAGTGGTAGAGCACCCATAAATAAATAAATATTGACATATCATGCCAGGATTTGTGCTGTCCTTGGAAAGGGCAGGCAGGGAACACAGGGTACATTCAGAAGACCGCAGAGATGATTTAGATTGAGAAGAGTGAGTGTTATATGTACATTTTACATATATATATATATATATATGGGCTTTTCTAGGTCTGAGCCTGAAAACGTTTGTAGACAAGGAGTACATTTGCCCATTTGAGCAGGGTTATGGGTGCAAGCCCTTGCAGGATTACAGGCATCGTTTGCTGCCCACCAGCACAGTTTGCAGAGTTATGGAGAGCCACGCTCAGATCACCAGCTATGGTGAGAAGAGACTCCTGCATCTGCACCAACATCTACGCTCCAGCCTGCAGTGACCAGCTACAGCTCCTGCCCATCTGCTGAGTCCCTCCCAGCAGCCCTCCATTGAAACCCAGCTCTGCTGGTCCCAGAGAATAAAAGATCTGAGTCACTCTTGCCCTCCTGGATGGAAAATGCTATATTGAGCATCTACATCTCTCTTAGACATAATCATGGGTATGGCACCGTTCCCGCAGAACGTTTGCACCAGGAAGCAACCTGACACATGGACAAAGTTCCAAGTGAAGTGAAAGGCATGAAGTTAATTACTGGCAGGAGCTGACATTTAGAAAAGGACTTGAAACGGGATTTTTAAACAGGTTTTAGGCTTGAGTTTCAGCTTAAGTACTTGCATCCAAAACCAAGATTCAAAAAGACCTCTTCAGCCACCTGGCCCTAGAGATCCCAACGTTTTCTAATACCTTCCTTTTTCAACCTGAAACCACCACGTCTATGCTCCTGCTTTGCACATCCAGAACCAACCAGGCACACACTCCCCTCCTGCCTAAGACTCTCCAAAAGCCAGAAACCAGCACAATACAGGTCTTCACACCAAGACCTACGGAGGCATCTGGAGCATCCTTAACAAATCGGCTCCCAGAACAGAGAGCTTTGTTTCTAAAGCACTGACACCTGGGAAAAGAGACACCCAACAGCTCCACTTCAGTAGAGCTTCTCTGAGCTTCTCAGGGCTAGTCCAAGGCTCTTGTTGCCTAAACAGATTTAAGCCCACGTGCAACCTCAGAGACATCTGCTTGCCACAAAACTAGAGGTTATTCTGGATGGGGACATGTCAGAAAGAAACACAAGGTCCCTGGAGCCAAGAGGACAACCCACAGGTGAGATCCTGCTCTGTAACCCAACAGTTAAGGCATTCACCTCAGAATGAGAAGTCCTGGATTTTGTCCCTAGGTCCTGATGAGATTTCAACAGCCTGATGTAAAACGCACATGCAGGCGCCAGAGAAGGACTTGCCACTAAGTCCTGGCTTAGCTTAAGCCACAGGTGACGTGCAAAGCAAAGCCCAGGTGGCTCTCGAGGTCCTGAGCTGGTGCCCACGAGGGAGGCACGTGTTACCTCTGCATCCTGGACATCCTGTGGAGCTCCATGTCGTCGCTGCCGCGGAAGCCTTTCGCAAAGGGGTTGTTCTCAATCTTTAACTGGGTGATCTGAAAGGGAGGAAATGCAACGGGTTCATCGCGAGTCCAAGGCATGGCCTGAGAGAGAAGGGATATTGTTTATTAAACCCAAGGCAAGAGGGATGTGGGGGAAAACATAGCCTCCAGGAACTCAAGTCATCCTTCAGCTCAGGCTTTGACCACTCCAGATGGGCCTTTCTCTAGATTCCTCCACCAGAAATATATCTCCTGTCAACAACCTCTCACTTCTCTCAGGTTTGTCCCATAACCAACACATGGGACCGCACACACACACATTTCTCTCTGGAGGAAATCCATTTTCTTAGAGTTATTTACTTTCTTTTTGCTGCTGGGCCAGAAAAAGCTATGACTAGAGGACCAGGGATGAAAGTCATATTGCCTGAACAAATCCCATGGAAACCAGCAAGTATTTTCTCACCAGTGTGCAGCTATGACTAAAACCTTACCTCTCAGACCCTGGACTCTCTCCCTCAGGCTGGTAACACTCACCCTTTCTGTATTTCAGAGCAGCTGAAGGTACTGCAGGTGCTCTGCATCTGACATGCTTCCCCAACCAGCCCCACACCTGTAAGCACCACATGGGCTAACTACCAAAGGTACTTGGAGAGCAACTCCACCTCTGACCATTGTGCACTGAAGGAATCTCCCCATGAATTCTAGAAGGAATTAAGAGGGATTAGTTTGCTTGCTTAGTTGGCTACTTTTAGCATCTTAAGTTTGCTGGGATGAATTCCCCTCGAATTCCTCATTTTGGTCCTCTTAAAACATCTAAGTTAAACATTTAGAAGGTGCATAACATACCCTTATCCAAAGCAACCGTGTTGCTCAAAGAGGTGCAACCTTCTCCTTCACATACCACTTCTGAGGGCTCAGGTGAGTAGGTTTGCTCAAGCCAGGGATAAGCTATGGACCAGCAAAATCCTCCAATGCCCTAATACTCAGGCAGAAGAGGCAACAGTCCTCCTTCTTCTTTCTCCATCACTGCCTGGCAGTCCAAGCCCTCAGCCAGGAGTCAGGATAACCATTTGCACTTGCCCAGGAGGAAAGACAACCCTGTGTTTGCCATTGGAAGAACTTCATGAGCTCACCACATTTTATGGTAACACTGTCCTTCCTTCCTTCCGATTGAAAGTTGGCCAAGGGGAAGGAAAGAGCTCAAGATTCATGGTGGGAGAACAGAGAGATGTTCATGTCCACCAAGCAAAGCACATGCAACTGGGCTGACCTCTTTGCCAAAATCCAAAGAGAAAAATCTGGCTCCACTAGTGTCAATAGCAAACCCAGCCAGGTGTCTACACAACCAGATTATTTTGCTATTTTCTCATCTTATAGCATATTTTTTTTTTTTTTCAGAAAGCCTTTCATTTATTTGCTGGTCTTACCTAATTCAGCTCCAAATCTCACTCAAAGACCCCATCGCCCCCTACGCTTGTTTCCATGGGGATTCCAATTAAATCAAGACCTAATTTAGTACATAAATAGGGCACAAATTTATAATTAAAAACCCTGAATAATTAGACAACCATTGTGTGTTTTTCAAAGCAAAACTGGTTCCCACTGAAGAAGTAGTGGCACTTCTCTAACAACTAATAGGCATTATTCAGCTTTTTGAACATTTCTATGCCATTTGCCTTCTGAAGCACACTAAATGCACAAGTTGTCCTCAGCAGCCCAACCCAAGGGCACTATTTGCTTGCATAAGTGAAGTCCTTCACTGAGGGAGGATTTACAGCATTGGCATCAGCACACAGATGTACAAAGGGCAGGATTCATCCCAACCTAACCGAAGGCATTTTAACCAAGGCGCTTGCACGCTGGGAACCTCATCTCCCTGCTGGAATCAGTGGAGGGAGATGGGAACTGTCAGAGAACACTGGAGCTCTGAGGTGGGTAGGCTGCCTTCATAGGTCCCCAATGCTCTCCATTCACCAGAGAAGGAGCTTGGTAGCCCCTCATTTAAGGACTTCAAATGAATGTCCTGCTTGACGAAACAAGTCCTTAATCACCCACAAAATGACAGACAAAATATCGTATGGGACCTCAGTCTTGCAAATATATTGCTTTATGGGTAGAGAAGTCCCCTAGTCCACATCAGGAATATTTTTACAAGCAAAGGTACTAAAGTATGTGCTGGTGGCAGAAAGCCCCAAGTGAAGCACGGATAACTTCAGCCTCCATCAAATTAGAGATCTGCTAGATTGAAGTTATCAGAAACCAAGGACTGCAGATGGTTTTAAATTGGTCTCAGCTCTTTAGTGGATTGCAGCAGGGGCTTTCAGAACAATGTTTCCCTAGATGATATCTCATGGCATCAGCCCTAGAGCTAAGCCAGGAAAGTCCAAGCCAGATTTAACAAAACCGTACACAACAAAACAAAACAAAACAAAACAGAGAAAAAGCTGGTGAATCTTTGCTTTAGAAAACAACCTGTGGAAGGTATTTTGTTTGGCTACTTTTTGCCTGACTTACAAACTATTTCAGAGGTGGAAAAGCAAACGAGTGGGTGGAAATAACCTTCTTCTGGATCAACTTTGCCATAGCGGAACTCTGTTTAATTGGCTGTAGCTCGCTGGGAGGAGGGGGGAAGGAAGAAAAAGCTGTTCAGAAAGTCAAATGACAATTACATCAGGAAAAATAAGAATCTATAATAAAAAAAAAAAACCATCCCTCGAGGTCCTTTAAGACAGAGTGCCCAAAACTAAATTCTATAGCACAGATTCAATAAAACTGTAGAGTTTTTCCTATTTTTTTTACAGAGGGCAAACTTCCCACCACTGATCTCTAAAGCTGCTGAGGACTCTTTTGAGATGAGAGCTTTGAAGGGTAAAACCTCCCCGATTTACACTTTTCAGGGCTTGTCTGACCCGTGGGTTCATCTTCACTGTAATGGGAAGCGACAGTTCCTGATGAAATCTCAGCGCCGCTCCTGTCTCTGGGCTAACTGACCACAAAGCACTTCTGCTGAGACATTTCCAATGGCATCTTTAGCTCCAGCATGATAAAATCTGTTTAGGTTGAGAAAAAAACACTCTACTTTTTTCTTCTTTTGCACAGCCTTGTATTTATATGGGTACTTGTGTCTACAGGCTCATGAATATTGTTATGGCCAGGGTCAAAACTGCCACTTAGTGTCATTTTGTGTCAAGCACTTGCCATAAGAAGTTTTTCCTCAGTTGCTTCTGACTTCACAAAACTTTATTAGGACTGAAATGTTCTGCACCAGGTATATGCCCTGGGTTCCATGTTGTTTGTTTATTTTGCTCCCAACCAAACTGGTCCCACGTCTCTTTGAGCACTTCTGCTAAGGGAAAACACAACACCCTGACCCTCCTGGGCTCTTCTGAACCTGTCCTAAAGGCTGAGCATTCTGGAAAAGGCACTTCACATTCTGCAAGGGGTGCTTAGGTTCTGAGCTCTTTGCTTGTGAGCATCTGCCTCACTTGGACAAAGTCAGAGGAGGGGCAACCATTCAAGTTGCCTCATTTAATGGTGAAGAGCTGAGCACTCATGGACCTCCACGTGCTGTCCCTGCCCTGCAGGTGACCACAATCCTGCTCAGTGTGGCAGAGACAGACCAGGACTATCCCTGCCACTGCTGCAGCCGGCTGTACTGGGAGCAACTGGGAAGTTTGGCTTCAAGCTTGAAAGCACAGAGCCTTTTTTCTTTTGCACTTTCACATACCCTAGGTGGAAACCAAGTCAGGGTGGAGGAGGAAGCCAAAGCAGAGAAGTGGGAAGGAAAGAAACAGATGAAGACAAGGTGCCTGCTGAGACTTTGTATATCTGGCTGGGGAGCTGGGACTCAGAGCCCAAGGTAAAGGCCAGGAGAAGGAGGGAGCTGCTGGCAGCAGGGAGAAGATGCAGAACTCAGATGCCAGTGAAGGAAATGGGAGGGACTGAGAGCTGGTCAGAGGTACTGGTGTGAGACAGAGGGGCTCATTGAGGAGGCTGTTGGCTGAACTGGGAGACAAGAAGGGAGAATAAGAAGAGACAGACCTCGCACAGTGTTGGGCTGAAGTGGAGGGAGGTGGGGGGGAGGCTGGAGAGAGATAAGGTGTCTTTGCAGGGTTTGGAGAGGGGTTCTGGATTGAAGACCAAAATGGGCTGGGGGCTGAAGGCTGCCTGAGCACCCTGTCCCTGGTGGCAGGGAGGCAGGGACAAGACTGAGGTCAAAAAGGGGAAGAAGGAGTCAGGGTTCTTTCAGAGACAGGTTGTGAAACACACAAGCCCTCTTGAAGGAAGCACTCTGCCACCAAAGCCTGGAACACAACTAAGCATTTGAAAGCAGATGTGTGAGCCCCAGAGAAGGTCAGTGAGAGGAGAAGAGCTCAGTGTGACCCCTGAGCTGCACAGACACCAGCAGTCTTGGTGATGAAGAGGAGAAACATGTTCTCACCTTGCTTAACCCCCAGGAGCCCTGCCTGCCTCAGCACTTGGAGGTTCTCCCTTTAGAGAAGGGCCTGCCCTGTGTAAGGAGAGGTGCTGCCCCTTCTATCCATGGATTTGGGAAGACATGGGGCCAATGGCCCCAAACAGGACAGGGGGAGTTTGGGGGACACAACCCTACAGGGCTGCCTTGGGGTACTGGCCTGGGTCCAGTATCTACACGGAGGTACTCCATGGGATGCCAGCCAGGCCACTAGATTGGTGGCTTCTCCTGAAGTGCTGGAGGTGGCTATCTGTAACCAAAGACAAGGAGAACTGACCTTCCAGAGCAAAACATCCCGAGCCCAAGGACCAGCCTGCCTCCAGCAGCAGCAGCTACACCTACCAAACCCTGCGAGATGCCTCAACAGAGCAGCAGAAGACCATGTGCTCAGAGGAGACACACACAGGCAGCTCTCCAGAACCTGGCAGGACGGAGCACCAGCTGACTAAGACAACTTAACCACGCTCTTTTTTAGTCCAGGGGTCTTTCTGGAGCTGGGATGAGCCTAGATATTCAGAAAGCCCACCAAGCTTGTTTCTCTGTGCCCACTGGCTACCTAGGAATGCATCAGATGAGTCTTCAACCAAGCCCTTCCTTGGTCCTCTGCCTTATTGTGATGCACGCAGCATTTCTGGGTGCCTACAGCATCCCAGTAGGGCTAATGATTCCTCAAAAGAATTTGGGCTATCAAGAATGTTAAATAACTTAGAGAAAAAAAAAAAATCATCATAAAACTGGATATCCTGAGGGGGGAAAACCAATATAAAGCTCATGTCCAGCTAAGGGGGAAAGTAGGTTGTAAAAATTAATGAGAATAATTGTTGTGAATTCTCGCTTTTGAAAGAACCCTCACGAGTGCAGAACCTTAATTATTTCTGTCTATTAGGGTTCATTTCCTGGTCCTAAGCAGAGAGCTAGTACCTAATAAATGAGAGCTAGTCACGCAATGATTTAAACTCCAGCAAAACGGTACTTAACTGGAGGGGAAGTTAATATTTGGGAATCAACCTGATTGCAAGCACCCATTGTGTAAATGGCAAGGAAATGAAGTGTGCACGTGACCTATTTTAACACCTCTCTATTTCTGGGATCTTTCTTCAGGGTTGCAGAGAGGGGAGGGGATTAGTCCACTGAGCTGCTGACAACCACACTGAAAACTTTACCAAAAACTTTCTTCGTGGCTTAAGCCTCCTTTTGAGGAGTAGGGCTGGGGAAAGGGAGATCCCAGGGTGCTTAAATATCTTTTTCTGGCTGTCTAAAGTATCCAGGGAAATAAACACAAGCCCCACCTCGGGATTGCAGCTGTGCTATGGAAATAAACTGGTGGATCTGAAATCGGGCAGGTATTTCTAGGACAGACTCAAATTCATTTGCAGGCAAGCTGTACAATTAATATTGTAATATAATGCACTTATAGCTCTTAAAGCCTAAAGCACATGCACAGATAAATTTGTGTGTATGTGTGTAAAAAATACCCCCCCAAAAAATGTGTGTATAGAAATGTGTATAAAAAATGTGTATAAAGGCTACATGTAAAATAATGTTGGTGTATAGACACTGTGGAGGATAGGAAAGTTTGTTTGAAGGATGCACAACAGGTGATGGGTGGAAGTGAATGAGAGATGGCTGTAAATGGGAAAAAATGAGTGCAGTGACAAGGAGATGAGGGGATGGACCCTCCTGGTGGAGCTCGATGCAGACCTGCACAGAGTGGTGGGACCACCATCATTTATAGCAAGGGGTAACGTAGCCCGTGGTGGTAAAATTTTCACATCGTGGTGTGAAAACACACTTTGCCAAGTGACATCTCAGCTGTGAAAGCCCAACTCAGGTTTCTGCCTGAAGAAAAGACCCCACTTGGCACTCGACCCCTCCGAGGGGTGTCACCCCTTGCGCTTAGCCAGCATCTGCAACAGCATCAGCTGTACGTCACTTCAGCCCTGGGGAGTTATTCTCCATTTGCACTGGGGCAAGCTACAAATTTTATTCCCTTCCCTGGAGGGAGATGCCATTTAGGGTAGATCATTCCCTGGTTTATTTTTACTGCTCTATCTCTCTCAATTGGGTCTTTATCTTGGGGCTACGGCCACTCTTTATTCATTCCCCCAAACGATTTGGCGCAGCCGGAAGAGGAATGCGAGTAGTGGGGGGGGAGGGGGGGGAGAGCAAAGGGAGGGATGTAAATGTATGTAAAACGTGTAAGGGGTGTGTCAAATATGTCGTGGTGTCTGCGCAGGGGTGCCTGTGTCTGCTGGGCTGGGAGAGCGTGTGTGTCTGGGGGGATTGACGCCGTTGTCAGGGCGGCTCTTTGGACAGAGGGATGCGCAGATGTCATTTCTTATCAACCAGATGTTGGTGATTTACAATCAAATATTCCTGCTCCTCCTAATATGGCAGTTTTCCCAAACTACTGTACTTAACATCTTCCTGCTCCGCTTTGGGTTTATTTGCATGATCATTTCTTTTTTTTTTTTTTTTTTT